CCTCTTATTGTTGGCAATACCTTGTTGTCTGTTGGTAACTATTAATACAACAAAAAAATCCAGTAACTTTCGATCGAAAAGTAGTAGTAGAAGTAGTATCTGCATAGGGGAAATATTTACGAAGGTTTTAAATCCTCGGCGTGGCGAAGATACCCTTACTTTCTCGTTTTAACTTATTGACTAACTTAAACAACAAGCAAAACACTCAAACGAAATTTTCCTTCCTTCAATTTGACTGCACTCAAAACTCATTTATCAAAGGCAACTATTTTGTCACTTTACCCAAAATAAAAATGCCATAAGTAAAAAATAAAAAGCAACGCTGAAATGTCCATTAATAAACGACAATTAAAAAGCAGCTCCGGCTATGGGTTCAGGGCTCTTGGCTCTTGGCTCATGGCTCGTGGTCCAAATCTTGCTTTGATGGTGCCCGCAGCCGCCATGTGAAGCTGTCGTCAAGGCTCGCTCGCTCGCTCTCAGTTTTTTTATTAATTCACAATCGTGCAAGCAGCGCAAGCTGTGCCAGTTTTTTCCGAAATTGATGACCTCATGACCTCGCCAAAAATACAAAAAATAAAAAAAACCGCTCACAAATGTGTGGCATGGCAAGGGGTAGGGCATTGTCTGGCCATTGTTTGGCACTTGGGTTGAGATGTTTCAGTATTTATTTGGGCAAATTCTTTAAAGTCAGCGCGTGCTCTAATCTTATGGCCGCCCGGCACGGTAAGGACCCTTCTAAAGCGTTCTTTTCTTATCATTGTTGTTGCAGCTAAGCCTTACAAATTCGTTATTAAGATGTTTAACCAAACGTTCTGGATTTGTGTGCTTGCGTGGGCAGCGTTTGGCCTTTAACAAAAATTGCCACAAATAAATGAGCAAATATATAAAATGATCCCAGCTTTTGTGTGCTTTTGGCCGCAGGCCGGACAGTGGGGAGAGGAGGGGAGAGAGAGGGATACATATGTTTCTATGCAACAAGCAGAGTTGGGGCAGGGATCAAACAATTTGTTCATAAGCCCAAACAGCGCGCAAATATCGCAAAACTAATTTCATCAAATATTTACGGCTCATAATAAATCAATTTGCACTTTGCTGCCAAAAATATAGGGTAGAAAAGACGAAGTTGTGATACTCTTACTTTTAGAAATTATTTAAAAAATCCTTAAAGGAACATAGTTAGAATTCAAATGTACCTCAAAGAAAATATTTGTTTTTCGGTCTATATATTGGACAAATTTAAAAACAACCAACATTCTAATACTTTTATAAATAGTCCAGGTTAATGTATTTAGTATTCAACACGCCAAAAATAAACTTTCGGGAACTCGTTTTACATTTTGCACCATTACCACGCCCTGAGGAGTTCATCATCCCATTCGGTTTTAGTTTCGTTTCATGATAAATATGAATTTGAAATTCTGGGCTCAAATCTGTTTGCATCAGCTGCCAGTTAAACACCACAACAAGCTCAACGATCAGCCCTAAGTAGCCCATATTCATTAAGGGTATTCCGTTCAGTCGCACGAACATAATTAAATGAAGCATACGCACCGGGGCCATGCTCATATGTTACGTATACGCCGCGTGTGACGTCTAAAAATGATGGTCGGTCGGCACGCTTTGGGCCATAAATCAATTTGGCAATGCCAACAATGCGAACACCTGCAGCTGCAGCTTTAAAAAAAATAGCGAGCACAAAAACTAAAATTTACAATTATAAATCAGTGAGTGGGTGGCGTGGGCGTGGGCGTGGTTGAGTGATGGGCAGCTAAACGACGCTTGACCTGCGGCTATTTGCACTGCGCTGACGCACTAATTCAGCCCTTTGGCCGCGTGATATATTGATATATCAATAAGAGCATTAAGCGGCGAGTATTTAAATGCGTGTGGCGGCTGACAACGCCAACAACCGAATCATTAGCAGCAAAGTAAATTTATTGTTTATTGATATTAGCCGCGGGCCAAGCGGGCCGGCCATAGCTCAGCAATTGGCCCGGACACGCCCACACATTGATGCATATGATATATAAATTGTAATTTGTATAAAAGCCAAGTTGGCCAAGTCAGTTGTGAATGTGCTTTGGGCCCAATGTATGCAAAATACTTGCCCGTAATTCCTTCTCCGCTCGCTGCACATCTTATGCAAATGCCGGACTTGGGAGTCGGAGTACGGGACGACTCTCTCTCTCTCTCTGTCAAGCAGAAAGCAGTTGCTTTTACGGCGCATTGCATATTATACAATATATATATATATACATATAGTTGAGTACTAGTCCGTAGACAAGTGTATGTCTCCATGCCCCCTTTCTGTGTGGGCTGGGACTTGCTCTTCTTAGATATATGTACTTCTATATAGGGAAAATTGCATGTTTCGCTGCAATGAAAACAAATCGCAAAATTACCATAATCAAAGCATAAAAGGGGATTTTTCTTTCTTTCTTTCTACAAATGCCTCTCTCACTCTATCTCTCTCGCGCTCTCTCTCTCTGCCTCTTTCCACTTTGCCACTTTGAATGTTGCACTCACAATTGTCCTGTTGTCGCTGTTAGACAAAGGGAAATTTTGTAAAGTTTCGCCAAAGTTTTCAACAAAAATATCTTAAAGTAATTGGCCTCGTTTGTTGTTAGCCCAAAGAACAGCAAATTCAATTTTGGAATAGATATACCCGATGGCATAGCAATTGATGCGGACATTTTACGAATTGTTTCCCAGAAGTTTTTTACGCCCTGCTCCCTTATTGGCCAAGTGAATGCAATGAGTGGTAATTTATTTCCAAATGTGAATAATGAGTGCGCATTTTTGAAAAGCTTTGGCTAGACAAATGCAGCGACTTTTATTATTAGATCGAGCTATCAGAAACTTAAGATGTTAGCAGCTCTTCAAATGAAGTTGGCTCGAAGAATGCCCATAAATATAATTATATACGTGACTTAAAAGTTGTAGGAAATAGAATATGCAAATATGCAAATATTTTACGCAGAACTGTGTTAAATTTACGGATTAGCATATTAGTGCCTAAATTAATGGAGGCGCCACAGGAGACCAAAGCTTGCTAATTTAATGCAACTACTAAAAGGACCACAACAACAACAACAACAAAAATGGCAGCAGCAATGAAATTGAATACAAAACAATTTACATTGAGTTAACACACACGCACGCACACACACACACACACACATTGTTAAGCCAATTACGACAAATTTCAAATTGTCCGAGAGAAGCTAACGGAATTACGTCAACCAAAAAGTAAAATGTAAGAAAAGTTTTCTTTCGAATACAAAATACCCTTACAGACAATCCATTTTTTGCGTTATACTTATTTACTGTTGCTTGTTTTAACAAGGTATGAATGAATAATTACATGAAACGTGAAAGGAAGATTAAAACTTAGAGCTAAATTGTTGTAAATGCTAAGTAAACTTATAATAAGATTTAGTAAAAAATAGTAAAAATGGCTTCGTATCAGAAATTTTTCAGAAGCAAGTTAAAATATAAAGGCGAATCAAATAGAAATATAACCAGCAGTGAGAAAACTGCTGTCGCTTCTCTATCTATTTCTTTATATTTTCAATCATTTTCCATTTCAACTATTTATTCTCTTATAAATTGCATTTTTATGCAGCTCCTAAAAAAGTTTTATCGTTCTCTTTTTTTCCTACAAGAAATGTGTTTTACCTTCTCTTACTTAAAGAGAGTATTTATATATGCATGCAAAGCAATTATGCCACTTACCCACATACCGTCCATCTCCAAAGGCGCTTTCGTTGATGTCAGGCGGCGAATTGCTGTGAAGAAGAACAAGCACAAAAGGGCGCCCGCCCTGTTGGCTGAGCTATCTTCTTCTTGCTCCTGTTATTCTCTCATTTTTTTCTTTTTCTTACACACACTTAAAATTGGCGCGAATGTCGGCGATCACCGCAATGGATTAACGGATTAACAGGCAAAAGGTTGAAAAGGAAATGACCGATTGAAAATTAACACGCGGTTTTTTTAAGCTGACGATATATATTCAGAAACTGAGAAACATTTAAAATTAACAAGAACTATGCGTTTCACTTCACTTGCGCCGATGGCGATTATAATGCAGCTTTTCTGGCTGCTTGAGACACTACTTTGGGTCTGTTCTCTTTTATGAGGCGTTAATATGTTCTTTCTATGCTTTCTACACTATATCACATTAATTAATCGCACTAATAATAACAAATAATTAATAATTATTCACACAATAATTGTTCGCGCTATATATTTGGCAGAAAACAAAATATAACTGCGAAAAAAATGCCGGGCAGAATTTGCAGCCTCACCGCCGACGTTTGCTGCTGAGGTGCGAATTAAAACTAATTCGGCAAAACTGCAGCGAGGCTAGTCTCTCCCATTTGATCCCATTTAGGAGGCGAATTTGATTTTTTAATGATCTCCAGAGGGAGCCAGCTTTGTTGTATATCAGGCGAATTAGGCGAATTGACAAATTTGCTTCGAAATCCAGCTGGAGTCTGTCACTGTTCCAACCGCTACTAAGCCAGCGATTAAGTATGTATTTATTTATGTATGTATGTATATATGTACGTATGTATGTACGTGTGCTTGCATGTATGCAATATACATCTCATACAACACGAAGACCAAACTCACTTCCTGCTGCGCTGCAATAATTAAAAGTTATTATCCCACGTTTATATTAATAGATGGCCAAATAATAATCATACGTCTGCATATTTGTAAAGAGAGATATGTTAAGTCAATTTAAGGCTGGCCCAGACTTTTCCTCTTGAATATTATAGAAAAATAGATTCATTTAAAATTTTCAATACGACGCATTATTTGCTTGTCGATAGATTCAAACTGAACTGAACGTTAAAATCATATACAATCCACACAAAATCCACATTCCACTGCAGATGAAAAGTACAGGCTAAACTTTCCACGCGCTATCCCTAGATGGCGCTGCTCAAATTACCCTTTTGGTTATTGTCCGTACTAAAAAGAGCATTTCAAGATTCGGTTTACATAAAAAATACAATTTTAATTGGTTTCAGTTGTTGTTTCATTTCATATATAAAAAACTATTAATATTTACTACAAATTTGAGACTATAGATGTGACAATTTAAAAAAAAACAAACCAAACAATCTAGCAACTGGAAGACAATAATTGAACATTGATATGTTACGGGCACGACTACAATTTATGACTATGGACGCAACACAATTGATTTCTACGTACGACAATTTATCAGCTAGGAACACACAAAAGACGAATCTAAATTTACGAATCTAGGTACAATTATTGCTTCTCAGTTGTTGTCGCTGACGAAATTCGATGGGGAACATTTCGGAGAACAGTTTGGCGGGCACATTACCACGCCCATCTGGGCGACACCTTGTCGAAATTCCACTCATCCGGATGACCCTCGTGATTGCCATCGTCGAGCACGCTCATCGCAGACCATTTGAACGGACCGCTGCCAATCTTTCGCATGGCTATGGCACGCATATCGTTGCGCACGGGACGCCGCTCCGTAATCAGCTCCAGCTCCGCCAGAGCAGCTGCATCGTCAATGGTAACGCTGAGCCGCTCGTCGCCGATGGCAGCGGGCGCTGCCTGATCCGACTGATCCGACTGATCCGCCTGCGGCTCCTCCGCGAGCGAACGGGCCTGGGCATGCTGCAGCCGCAGAAAGATGGGTCCGGCAAAGGCGTGATAGTCGCTCATGCCCAGACGCGCATTGTAGGAGAAGAGCTTGAGGTCAATGTTGCCATAGGCAATGGACTCGTCGCCCAGCAGATCGCCGCGAAAGCCGCGCTTGCGCAAATACTTATCGACCGCCTCCAGATTGGTCAGTTCCGCCTCCTCGGCGGGCGTCAGATCCTGATCCTCGCTGTAGTTATCGCGCGAGATCCGACTAGCGTTTAGAATGACATCGAAATAGGGCACGCCGTTGGCCAGCCAGGTGGAGTTGCCGGCCAGCAGGAAGTTCTCCGTGACGTCCTTGCTGTGCACCAGTCCCGGCAGCTGTTCCACAATCCAGACCATGTTCTTCAGCTGATCGTGACGTTCACTGATGGCAGCATTATCCTTCTCATTGAGCGGCACGGGCGCATCATCGTGCTTCTCATCCGCATCCAGCGTATTGTAGAGATTATCCTGTGCGCCCAGCTTGTTCAGGTCAACGCTTATCCATTGCTTGGCGCCCGTAAACGGATGACGGGACATGGCCCGAGCCCAGGTGCGTCGATTCTGGGCAATGCGATTGGCGGCCATGACGCGAGCGACAAGCGGCACCATGTTCTTCACGTCCACGTTCTGCCAGAGCGCCAGATTCTCGTTCTTGATGCAGACGCCGCCGACAATGGACTGCACCTGGCGTCCCTTGACCACATAGAAGTCGTCCGTGGAGCCAATGATGCCCGGATAGCCCGTGAAGGTAATGTCCGCACCGGGCACCGTATTGCTGCGCGTATCGGGCGAGAAATGGTAATGGAACTTGTACCGCTTCTGGATGCGCAACATGGACGAATAGCTGCCGGCGGTGCTGTGGCCAAAGAGCAGCTGCAGCGACTGCTGCGGCGACTGTTCCTGGCGCAGCAGGCGCGTCAGCATCGAGGCGCTGGGCAGAAAGAAGTTCTTGCTGCCGCCCGCGCCCGCGTCCGCCTCGGCGGTGCCATTGGGCAGCACATAGTTCTCATAGTAGATCTTCAGATCCTGGATATCGGCAGCCGCATTCATCAGCAGAAAATCGGAGAGCGGTATTTCCTCCTCCAAGTCGGAGCGTGCACGCGTCGCGCCACGTATATAGCCCGTCTCCATGCCCTCCAGCTGGTTGAGTATCAGGTGCAATTGATGCCAGTAATGATCGTGCTCGGCCATGGCCGCCGCCTGCTCCTTCAGCTGTTCATAGTTGCGGGTCAGCAGATTGCGCAGCCATTCGCAGAACTTCTGCGAGCTCTCATCCCGATCGCACGAGGATGAAATGGTGCTAAGGGTGGGCAAGGAGATCAATGAGGAATGGAATGTATAAATTAGACCGGAACTTACTTGGCCCACTGATTGTAGATGTTCTTCCAGGTGAGCGAACCCTCCAGTATGCCAGCGGCATAGGCCTGCACCCAGTCCGGATAGCTGCGCTGCGTCTCCACCTCAATCTGTGCCCAGCTGCAAGCAGGAGAGGATTAGGTAAGTATATCAAGTATAACAGACAGCACCTACCCATTCTCATAGACGGAGTCCTTGTAGCATATTCTAGCCACGCCCTTGGGTATGTTAACCAAGTCGTTTTGCTGTTTCCAGTTCTCGATCTGAAAGCCCACCTTCTTGGTCCAGAATGCGGTGGCACAGTAGGTGCCATCATATTCGGGCCGATCCATGTAGGCGACAAAGAACGCACCGATCACCAGCAAACCGGCTCCGATCAGTATATATGTCCCGATGCGCGTTTTCTGCCATGATGCACCGACGACTTTTAGCATGGTTCCGTCCGTCTTGAGGCCGCTTTCGACTTGGATTAGGACACCGGCTTGACTTTGGCTTAAGTGCACGACTTATCACTCGGCCCGGCAATAGTTGAGATCGGCGCGTGCGGCGTACGAGTGGCCCAGCTTGATGGCAATCAGTTGGCCAATAACGCCAGGATGCAGTTCCTGCCTGCTGCTGCTTCCGCTGCTCCTGCTACTCCTGCTCCTCCTGCTGCTGCTGCTGCTGCTGTGGTTCACGGTGGCCGCGCTGTCAAGCGAAACGACCGTTTGGTTCATCTGTGTGGACGCTGCTCTTGGGCAGTGGATCAAATGGTGTTCAATGAAAAAAGACTATCAGAAATTTGTTCAGATCTTTTGGAGGTGCAAGTGGTTGCTATTGTGCTTGGTTTGGATTCGGTTTATTTGCCCGCGCGTCGCTGTGTCCAGTGGCAGCTCCAGCTAAATCTGTCTGTGGCTCGAATTTACAGAGGTTCAAAGTGTATCCCTGAAATACAAAGAACGAAAGAAATAATTAATAAATACATTTAATGCAATATACAATTCATTTGCGTTGCAAACGCAACATTTTTAAACCAAAATTTAGCAAAGTTTTAAGCGTATAAGTATTTTTAAAGAGACCCTAAGTAGGAAGGGTATGATGATTTTGTTGAAATGTTTGTAACAAACAGAAGAAGGCATCTTTGAACTTATAAAGTATATATATGCTTGCTCAACATTAGGAGATAATTCGATCTAGCCCAGTTTGTCTGTACGTCCGCCTGTCCGTCCGTCCGCCTGTCCGTCCGTGTATCCATCCATCTGTCTGTCCGCTTGTCCTTTCATCTGTCCGTCCGTCTGTATATAGCGTACATCTGAGGGTCCTTAGGGGCCAGAGACTTAAAAGGTTAAGCCTTGCTTCACATTATAACCCCGCAGATCAGGTTTGCTGCGAATCATCGATAACCTGCCACGTTTCAATGAAATCGATAAAAATCGATATTGAAATTCAGTTTTGTTGAGTGTATCTCAAGGCTTATGAAGCTAGGTACACCATATTTATATATATATATATATATATTATAGTCAAACCAGATCCAGAATTTCATATTTCATATTTTGGATACCTCCCCTGGTTTCTCCCAAGGTCTTCAGAGTCATTGGGCTTTGATATTTACACACATGACATATTTATGAACTGAAAATTTCATTAACGATCGGACAATAAGCTCCGAAGCTAGTTGAGTAAGCATTTTCCCCTACTTAATATTAGTTTATTTTTGTATAAAAATGTACAAAAGAAAGATCAAATGTTTGCAATGCCAGCTCGGCGCTGGGTCAAGGGTATCTCGCAGTGTGGTACGCCCAACTGGAGCACTTGTTTTTATTTAAATTTTAAAGGCATTTCTTTGGCGTCTGGCCTGCTCGTGTATTTATATGAAAAGCAACGCTCATTATTGTGCCATTAGTATAAATATTTATACAATGCGCATTTGCTGTTCAATAATAATAAACATTTTGGCTTATTTTCAATTCGTTTTGTAATTCGTCTCAATTAGATTTATGAAGATGCGGCCAAAATCGGAATATGTAATTCATATTTTCATCACAAGCACAAGAAAATCGCATAAAAGTGCGTAAAAACTTTATATTTGTACTAAATGTACACTTGATTTGAAAACCATTCACACCTCTGCGGTTTTTGGCGCATAGGTAAACAAATTTTTAGCATTTGTAAAACTTATAAATTCGGTTTATGACCCGAGTGGCTCCTGAGTGGCGAATTTTTATAGCGCCCACCTGTTCTGTGTTCCATATGATATATATTTATTTTATACGAATAACAGTATATATAGGCTATAATATCACGGATTACTTAAGTCTGGCTTTCATTCAGATAATGCCAAAAACATCTGCTCCACTTTAAAGTAAAACATGGCAAAGAATCTCAAGGCAACTTTTCATATACATATGTAAAAAATATCGAAAAAATATTTATATAATATGAGTTGTAATTCGAAATTCCAATGGATATTCAGCTTGTGCAACAACTCGACAAGATAAACAAATTGAAAACAAGAAAATTGCGCATACGCCCCATTGGCTGTTCGATTTAAATGAATCGGAAATCGTTGGGCACGTGGAAGAGAGCTGAATATTGAAATGGAAATCATGCAAGTGAATTAATTTTTACCTGATTTCGTTGCTGTTTTACATTGAGTATCTGTGTATCTGTGTATCTGTTAGATACAAAATGCCAAAATTTGCACAATTTTCACATCAATCAGTCAACAAACAAACACAATCAAAGCTCAAGCAAAAATAGAAAATAAAATCGCATAGAACGGAAAAGTATCTCAATGTTTAAGGGAAAATAGTTTAAGATTGAAAACAGAGCTTTCCTCTGTTTGTCTTTAAAATCGTTTTTATATATGTATATTCTTATATTTTATACACCTAATTATATTAATTATATTAGTTCACTCACCTTTTGTTTCCCGGGTCCAGGAAGCTTATGTGTCCAAAGTCAACCCATTTGAAGTACTGCAAAGAGACAGAGTAACAAAAAATCAATGTTTAGTCTAAACCTTAAAAAGCGGCGCCTAAAGTCCAAACAAAGCTCAATTCAATCGTTCAACGAACTTTGTTTGTTGTTCCAATTGTTCGCCAAAGTAATATTCAGCTAGAAGTTACCCATCCAGCCCATGTTTATCCAAAATATTTATAAAGAAGACTTTGCGCACGCGCAATTGTTTCTTTTCATTAATTGTTTGTTTTTCGTTCATAAAGATTGCTCAATTTAAGATGAAATGTGAGAAACCTAATTGATTGGTGGTCCCATGTTGCTGACGTCTTGTTAAATGAGGCTGGCGACACTTGAATTGGAGCACAGGCCAGTTGACGACGATCTCTTGTGATACGAAAGCTCAATGAGTCGAGATGATGTTGCGATGCGCACTACAAAGAAGTATCTAGAGCAATTGCTCTGTAGTTGGACAATCAGGTGAGAGTCTAGCGAAAACTAAAACAAGTTGCGAATTTGATGTACATTTAGTAAAGAGGCTTAAACCACTTGTGAATTATAAATAAATTTCGAGAATGGCCAAAAGCAGCTTAAGTTGAGTTTGTTTACAGAATCTCATAACATACAGAATTTAGCCAAACTTAGCTACATTACTTAAGAGGCTTAAACAACTTGTGAATTACAAAAGGAATTTCGAGAATGAGCAAAAGTAGCTCAAGTTTGTGTACAGAATTCATGAGCTTTACGCTAAAACAACTTGGGAATTATAAACAAATTTTAATGACGCGTTAAAGCTGCCCATGCGAATGATTCATTGTATTTATGTTAAGCTCTGGCTAGATAAGATTTATAAATTCAATGCGTGAGTTCTCAGAAGCTGTCAGGGAATTATCAGCTGACCAGCTTTATAAATATGCCGAATGCTTATGAACTCGTTCTGAATTAATGAACGTCGCTCGACACTTCATTTGATTCGCTAGAAATCATTAACAACGCGATTGAGAAGCTTAACTTGAAGTATTTAATAACTGTTTTGTTATTTGAATTACAAAATCAATTGGTATTTAATTTTAAGCCATAACCGATTCGTTGGGGGACTTTCACCGAACCATGAGACTGTACTTTGTTCGCCTTGCAGTGAGCCAGTATGAAATTAAAATCATTTTTCGTTTCACTTGTGAAAATAAACACATTAAGTGAAAAGCAGCTGCAGTTCGTGAAAAGCTTACGTTTGTTTATATACTTTTATGAAACTCAAATTGACTCGAAAGATATATGTATGTATCTAGTCCAAAAGAGCCTCAAGGCTGCAAGAAGCTGTCAATCATTGAGCTACTCACGAGCTGCCAATTGTCTGACAAACTACGCAAATTTCACCCAGACGCGTGATACCCCCCTTTTTTTTTTAATTTGCCAATGACGTCAATAACTAAGAGTTGTATAAGTCAAAAACAAACCGTGTTTTTTTCAAAAATAGAGCCCAGTTAGCCGTCTAATGCCACATAATCCCCGTCAAACATTTGACGTCTTTTTGCAGCCATCTGCACCTTAATTAACTTTTATTAACGTTATCATCTTTTGTTTATGCAGCACACACAACAACTGTTTTTTGCTTAGATGTGAGCAGCGTACATGGCTGATTTATGGAGTTCAAATTTAACGCGCCTGCACTCAACCCCAACTGAGCTACTGAACTAGATAGTATTATTAATTATCATAACTGTACACTTTTTTTTTTTGTTTTCCGAGCTAATCAATCAACTAAGTTGGAGCGTAAATAATTGACTTAGTCGATAGCAAAGTGTGTGCACATAAACTTTCGCTCTAAATATGTCAAATCGAAGTTCCATTGTTGCCAACTGAATTTATGCTGATTAGATTGCACATTCTGGAAATTTGTTCAGATATGTTGTCAGTCTGGCCACACTTAAAACAGCTGTTACCGTTAACTGACCAAGGAATTTCAGACAAGCCATATAATAACTACGCCTTTAGCCAGAAATTCATTAAGATAAACAATATCTATTCATATGATTTATGCGTCTAGCCAAATAGTTCAAGCCTGACTGCAGACTGTACCCATTAGCGGTATATTTTAATTATTCACCGTTAGGCGATTCGATCTACAAATCATGTTATATGCGCCTTCAAAATGCCTTTTGCCTTCTGGTAAACAGCAATAAATTAAATACGTATGAGCATAAAAAAAATACTAAATTAATACACACCTAAAATGTTTTAACAATAAACATTTATGGGCTAGCAAATAAGTTAAGGTAATTAATACAGACGGAAAAACAAGAAAATTAACATGCCCACATAGTACTGGCAATATATTTGCAATAAGTATTTCGAATATTCGAACAACACATGTGGCCAAGTTTTTGATATAACCAGGGAGTATTACGAAGCACTCCATGTGCCCGACACGTGAGAGGCATCCGGCAGACAGTCAGATACCTTCTCATAGATGACAGATATAAGCGACAGATATATTCTAGAAACGCGTCTCATACATAATTCAATAAGCCCGCGTTTCTACGCTTGACAACAGTTCTACCAAAAAAACAAGAAAGTAGGGTAATGTTCGGCACGCCGAAGATTTAATACCCTTTTGCAGATATGTGGCATAGTGAAGCTCGTAAATGCTGACAAAATATCTTGGAAAACAAAAGACTTTGCCAGGAACCTACATTTCGATCGATCCTTCCTATGGCAGCTATATAATAGAGTGCTCCGATCCGGTCGATTCCATGAAAGATAGGCATATCTATATCTACATGGCTTTTGATGCTCAATTGAGATTATCTATAGATCTATACTCTATGGGGTCGGAGATGTCTCCTTCTATGCGTTACACAATTCATGACAACATTAAAATACCCTACATAATAGCCCAATACCCTACATATAATATACCCTCTACAAGGTAATAAAAAGAAGAGCTCAACCTGTCGTCGATGTGGGAACCTCAATTTATGCTGAATGAAAAGCGCCCAGCTAGCAAAAACTCTATAAATATGCAAATTTATGTGGCATATTGTAATACAAGCAAGTATTCGTATTCGTATTCGTATGCTCGATCGATTGCGATCACAGCAATACGATCCATTAAAGAGAAAATATGCTTAGCTGGGGCCACGCTGCCACGCGTCGTCGAAAACTGACTGACAAGCTAAGCGAAATCGCAAGCTGAGGCCGACTGAATGTAATAAAAAACTTGATGGCAGGATCAGCTTATATCATAATCATAATTGTTTGGTCGAAAGTCCAGACGTCGCGACGTCTGTGCGGCTGCACGTGTCAAAACTTGCAACTACTGACTTTGGCAGCTATGCGGAATGCATTCTGGCATGCATTCGGGGAACGCATGCGCTGGCATATAGTCGCGTGATCGGCGACTATATGTATATTTATTGGCTGCTATTGAAACACGCAATTCACAGATGAATAATTGCGTATAAAATATTATTAGAGCTCATCAGCTGATGGAAATTAATTAAGCGCCAATCAGCTTTACGACGGGGCATTTCGCGTGGGCTGGGAAAATGTTCATTAAGCACAATAGAGCAGAGAGAATTTCGTGAAAGAAAGATTGTTGCTACAGATAAAGTAAATAATAATCTCCGTTCTATTACAAAATTAATTACATTTTCGTTTACCTTTTACATATATGTATAGATGTATATAACTATTATATAAACATTTGCATTGTTATCTTTTCGATTTCCGAAACAGATCTGAATTTTTCATTAGTATTTCTTTTATTTCAAATGCTTTGCATGATCAGCTGTTTTTTTGTTTGCGTGCCAGTTTTCTTCTTTCTTATATAGCACATATACTACACAGACCTAACCCATCTTTAGCCTTTATATAAACCCTCAGCAGATCGCTTAATTTCTCCGATTTTGTTAGCCAGTGCACCTTACCTTTATATCAAAAAGCTCTCCACATATCTTTCAGATACACTCAGCTGTTGTCCACAAGATCTTTGACAATTTTCCAAAAGTTTGTATATTATATATTTATATTTTCTTTATTATTTTTGGGCCATTTGAATAGATCGCCGTGAACCGGAAAAATCTGCAACCGAACAACTCAAACGTGATCGCCAGGTATGTGCATATGTAATCGCGTATCTTAAAGATAAAATTCGCGTTTACGTCAATGCTGCTGCTGGCCGCAAAAACAAATTTCTCTTGCTTTTCTTTTCTTTTTTTTTTTTGAGAAAATACAAACAATTTGTAGCTTTGCGCGCCACTCAACGATCCCGTCCGATTGCCTTGACGTTTCCACCGAAACTGCCAGCGTTCAGTTTTTGGCGAGCGGAAAATTCGACAATCGTCGAACGATCTCCGATTCTGCAATTGTAGCAAAACCGAAAATTTTGCAGTGTTCGTTCTATTGAACTTGACCGCTTGGTCTGGCCCTCAGACGAGATCCTATCAAGAGCTGTCACAAGTCACGGCGAGCCACTTTTGATGGCTCCGAGCACGTGACCAGAGCGAGAACTCTGAGCTCTGAATAATGCAGTGCGAGGGTATTTATGACAAACTACTTATGACAACCTTTGCATTAATCAGCTGTGACTTAGTGCGAGGCTAAGAGACGCACGTGACCATGTGCCAACTATTTAGAATTCACAATTTCATGCCACAGCACATTTTGCAGTTATATACCCCCCCAAGCCAAAAAGATTGTGAGCTGAAAATGTTTAAATGATATTCGGCCTACAAATTATCTCAATTTGACATATATACTTCTTTGACTGAAGAATTGTTCCAATAAAATTCTAAACTATGTCAAATGTTTAAATGTTAAATGTTTTTTCTAGTGTTTGAAAACGGGTTGTGCAGCAAAAGTGTTGGGCAATTCATTTCAAACCAAGTTTAAAACCCATGCAAACAATTTTTAAATAATTTTGCAACACTTGTTTAAAGTGTTCACATTGCAAAAATAGTTAAGCTGTGTTTAAACCAAGTTTAAAACGCATGCAAACATTTTTAAATCATTTTGCAACACTTTTTTTTAGTGTTCACTTCCCAAAAATAGTTAAAATTTGATTTAGAGATTGTAAATCTTGTTGAACAATTCATTTTAAACAAAGTTTAAAGCCTGTGCCAACAATTTTTAATACTTTTGCAACACTATTTAAAAGTATTCACATTGAAAACTTTCCTAAAATGTGGTTTTTAAATTTGGTTTAAAAATAGTTAAAAATTGATTTGGCGACTATAAATCGAGATTTGGCAAATTAGGGTTTGTTTAGAAAACTGGTTGGAACCCTGGACAAACTCAATTTAAAACCGGTTTGCCATGGCGTCTATTCAAAGCGTTAGGGCAAATTAGAGAAAATAGTATAATAGAGCTAACACGACGGGCAACATTGTCGTCGATTATTTTTAGCGAATCGTTTGCATTTTACATTTAATTATGCACAGCGTCATTTAGCATCATTTCCATATAAATACGCCGACAATTGACTTTGAATACGATCGAATTTGTTGCGCTTTTCCGCATAGCTGGAAAATTGGCATTCAGTTGAGTGCGTCGTAAAGGCGAATTATTGTTTCCAGCCCAATTTCCCATCATAATTTCCAACTTCTCTTGGGTTCAATTAATTGACTTGGCATTTCCTGCCGCCTTCAATTAAGCACTAATTCAAATGGCAGCAAATAGGGCTTGTTGATTAACTGCCAGGCATTTATATAACTTTGCTCCCGATATGATATACATATATGCATAAGATAGATGTCTGGTCAATTAACCGACAATTGTCGCTCAATATCAAAGCGATGCGAGTGGAAGGAGGAGAAGAATGCAATGCATAAGACGTGCTCTTGGGAATGCGGTTTCGCTTGCCAACTTGGCCGTGGTTGAACCGCGTGCAGCAGGACAAGAACCTCAAGGATTTTGACCTCATTTGTCTGTGTATCTGTGAGATACAATAGCTGCCCCGCTGCCCCGCTGCCCTCTGATCGCTTGCTTCTCTCTGTCTGGCTGTCTTCCTGCCTGTCTGAGGCAAAGGCAGCCTGGCAACTTCTGCGAACAGACCTGCCCCCGTCAGCATGTTTTAGAAGCTATCTCTCCCTCGCTCCCTCTCCCTCTCTCTCTATCGTTCTCTGATTCTTTGGTGTTGACCCCTCTTGCTGCTGCTGCTGCTGCGGTTTGATGTTGGCATAGCACTTTATTATGGCCTTTTATTTGTTTTTCTTTGATCACAGGCGAACTAAGTATAACAATCTTGAGATCTGATATTCTCCACTTGAACTCTCTGTTGCCAGGCGGCTTTTTGCCTTCAACTCGAGGTAATTTAAAACGTTTAATTTTTTTTGGGTTCTCTTTTTGCTTTTGAGTATTCTAGGCCATTGCCTTTTGGGGCACAGCTTAACGTTTACTTTTGCTGAATACAAAAAAATATTTATTTTAACTAAAACTAAATTTGTATTTTTTTTACCCCGAATTTCTATGTTCCATTGTGGTCTGCAATCACTTGGCTATCAATTTGCTGTGCATTAATTCGGGAGCTGTTCTTTGCAGCTTCAATGCGAAATCTAAACTAAACGGAAAGCTCCTTAAATCTTGTTTTCCAGCATCCAGATGCCCTATAAAATCTTATCAGCTCATGGAGGGTAAACAAGATTCGCATAACAGCAACAACAACAACAACAATAACTGTAAACAGCTGTCTGCGTAAATACTTCATTTATTTTTGGATGCCCTCTGGGTTTTTTTTCCCGCTCTCTATAGGTAACATCACATGGCCGCCGCTTTGCATACATATTTGCGAAAGATAAGGCACGGATGCATTGAGATCTGCCTGATCTGTCTGCCGGTTGGTGACACATGTCAACACACACATCCAACACGACAACCCACTCATGTGACCCTATTCAGGTGTCCCCACCTGTTCACAGAGCCAAACAACACCTGAAGGTCTATCGATGAGACAGTCATCGCGCACTTTTATCAGATTTCCGGCTGCGGATTCCAATTCAAATAGACTTCGGGCACTTGGCTAATTATGGCCTTCAGTTAATTGCCTTGAGTCAACCTGGGTTCCCTCTCCGGCTTATCAGCTTGGTGCAATTGCCAAAAAAATCAAGAACCTATCAGACAAATATAATTAAAATGGACAAGCTTATCGGCTGTGCGAAGTAGAAAACTTTAGATGCCGACCGGCTGAAGAAAAAACTGGAAAAACAACCCCTGTAAAAACTGGTCATGTCTGCCATTGTTCCAACTGATGTCCACAATGTCCTCCTCTCATCCCAGCTCCAGCAAATTGCGTGCTTTGCAATTGCCGACGGGAAATCGTACAAAAATAGACGACAACAAAAAAAGATTTTAAAAGAGTGCGAATTATATATGAAAATATTGACCTGATTTCGGACTGCGTAATATAGCCTATAGTATGGAGTGTGTTGGGTTTTTCCCCTCCAGTTAATTCCCCAGACGAGTTCAATATTTATTTAAGCTCAAACACGTGTTGACAAGCCCCCCGCCTATCCCCAAGGCTTTGCACTAATTGAGGTATTTGGAGTAAGTATTCCTAGATAACTATAGATACTACTTATATGTCAAAACATGTGTGTGGGAGGGGTAGGGGGAGGGGGGGGGGGGGCAACTTACCGGAAAATTTGTACGGCTGGTGATTCACGCAAAGTCTGCGCTGTTGTTTATCAGAAATTTGTACGGATCGTGATTGATGGAAATTATTTATTGTGTGTTTTTGCTAATAACTGCCAACTTTTAGTACACTTTGTTTTAACACGAAACTGTTATATAGTCACACAACGGGCTCGTGTTAATTAACCATGAGGGGCTACATTGGAACCGCAATGGATGATTTAGCTTCTTGCTGTTGGGTCTTACAACTCTCTTGATATTGTGCTCAATGATCTTTCAAAGTGTTGCATATATATATATATATAAATATATATTTATTTAGTTTATTTAAGTATTTCCTACTGTTGCTATGCGTAGCGTCGAAATATCAGAGTAACTAATTATATGTTGTGTGCTATTTGTATATGTAAATACTATGTATGTATGTATGTATTTATATGTACTCGTATTTGCGGAGCACGAAACGTGGCGTTTCTTTTGATATTATTTATATATTTATTTACTTTGTCGCTTCTATGTCTGTTGCACTTTTGTTTTATATATATTTATAGTTAGGACAATGAAATTGAAAGACAATAAAAACAATACACAATTTACGAATTAAAAAAACACTCTATTCGATTTCTCGCTTGCGCTGCGAATGGACGGCGACGTTTAACGATCAGCGTCAACGAATTTCAACTGAACACGCAACTCATGGTCCCGGCACAAAGCCAACCACCAGATCTCGAACGCAGTCCAACTAAACGGTTGTACATCCAACTCACTCGCTGAGAGACGGGCGAGAGCAACGGTACACTCAATAACACTCGTCTACAGGGCTGACGATCGTTTTGGGAGGAATGAAGCAACGAACACATATACAAACCTTTCATTATATTGAAATAAGCATCAGCTAGACTGCTGGTCTGGGCATCGTATTGGAAGAATGTATAGTGAAAATAAATTAAAAGTAAGTAAAACAATTTTTCTCTTTATTTATTTATTTTCCATAAATATAATAGTTAACAAATTGAATTAAATATATTTTTGACACGTTTTGGTTTTGATCCTTAAAGTTAAAATCAATTTTAAATTCGAGCTCTTAACTAGAATTTCAATACAGCTACACATTGTAACTTGATTATGTTGTGCTGTGCTCCTTACGCTCCACATTGAGCAACATATTCGACTCAAACCCTGCACCGCTACAGACTCGATCGTTGGACGGTCATTGTCATAGCAACAGGGAGCTGCTCTCCCCGTTGCACAGTTTCCAATTCATTTTATATACAAATGTGGTATATGTAAATTGAACTGTTATTCGTGACGTCGTCGCACACGCTGATAACACACTTGACACGGAGAGAATGTAAGAGAGAGAGAGACAAATTGAGTGGAACTCCCATGCGTACGCCCCTTTGATTTTGCGACACCGAACAGAAAATAGAATTCCCCCAATCCCCGAAGTGTGCAAATAAACCAAGCCCCGATAATATAGTTTGGTGAATGCTTTAGATAAACTTAGCTAAAATTTATAGCAGTAAAAGTACAGTTGACGGCCGTTATCAGCTGAGGTACAGGTAGACACACACGCCCATTTACCTGCATTAGGAAATACAAACATCTACGATGAGCCATGTAATACGAAAATAGCATTGGGATTCATTAAGTTTTAGTACTGGAAGTTGTATAACAATTGCAAAGTACGTATGTATGTATATAGTTATTTATCACGCCTTGCCCTTTTCACTTGAGCTGCTTTCCGTGATACTTAAATTAAATTTTAAAAAAATTACATGTTTTAATTATGACAGCATATCCGTATCGAGCGGGAAGTTTTTATTTTCAGTTTTTTGTTTTTACATATTACATATTTTGCAATATCTCCCAAGATACAAATATATATAATACAATAACTTTCAAATACATACAAATTAGTTCAAATTCTCACCAGTATCTTACAAGCCAGTATAGACAGCCGGCAGTCAGCTGGTTCCATAGTGTAGCGGTTATCACGTCTGCTTTACACGCAGAAGGTCTCCGGTTCGATCCCGGATGGAACCATGTGTCTTTATTTTTGTAAAAATATATTTAAAATGTTTTTAGGATAAATGAATACGACTATATTTTCATTAATATAATTAGTTTCTAATATTTTAAAACATGTGCGGCAGTATATGTTGCTACTATTTTATTTTTCCATATTTAATCTATACTAACATAAATATATTTTTCATTTCGAAAGTATCTATAAATATAATATCTTTTCCATTTGGAGAGTGGTCTATAGGTTAAAACAAGCTCAAATAAAAAAGTTATACGCCATGGTTCCATCCGGGGTCGAACCGGAGACCTTCTGCGTGTAAAGCAGACGTGATAACCGCTACACTATGGAACCAGCTGTCCTACTCCATGCTAAACTTCAGTTTTGTTACGCAATTCAAACGTACAAAATTTCTTAGCGCACTTCGGAGCGCTTTCAGTTGGGAATTTTTAGTCATTCCACAACAACAACAAGAAAAGGAAAACATTTATAAAAACGATTTTTGGTTGCTAAATAATTTTATTTCAAAAGCGAAAAGCACGTAGTTGTCTTATGCAACCGGCAGCTATTTGTAAAATGTTATGCTTAGTGAGATACAATAAATTAAAATGTAAAACTAAAAGTAGATATATAAACATATTGCACCATGGTTCAACCTAAAAGTATAAATCGTAACTATTGCAGACACCTATTAAATAAATTAACAACAAATTAAATAATAATACAGTTAAGAGCCGAATTTCGCTGAGCAAAGGAATTTCAAGCCGTAAAATAGCAAAAGCAACAACAACAAAAACCAAAACTGCGCCCGAAGTCCCAAATACTGGACCGGCACAAGGACTAGAGATTGATGGCTTCAGTAGCGACGCGCCGTCGTGGGTCGCGGCACGCCCGAGGTGCGAGGACGCGCCGACGCGGCGCCCATGGGATGGGAAACACCGTCCGTATTGTAGCTGAGATACACATGAGAGAGATCCACAAATTCGGGCTCCTTGCCGCCGCTCTTGTGCTCGATGTGCTTGCGCATGTTGTTCCCGGTGTAGGCGACGCACTTGAGCTGCCACTCGCCGATGTCCTCGTTCCAGTGGGTATACTGATTGATCATGGACTGATATTCCTTGGGCACGTACGAGTTGAGCACCAGCTCGCAGAGCGCCAGCTCCCGTGAGAGGCTGCGTATGTTCTCGTAGATGCCCTCCTTTTCGCGCTGATGCTCCTGCTGCTGATCGGCCAGCTCCGACTTGACGCCCATCAGCATTTGCATGACGCGATGGATCTTCTTGGTGATACCCGTGCTGGCGTCCTGCAGCGTGGAGTAGCGCTCCTCGATGTCAATGCGTTCGGTGGCCTTTTGCTGGAGCGTTTGCTGCAACGCCTGCTCGGTTTTTTCGCGCTCCTCCAGCTCCGCAATGGACTGCTCCAGCAGCTTCTCCTGGGTTTGCGCTTTCTCCAGCAGATTCTCGCCACCCACCAGAATCTTGCCCTCCAGCGAGAAGAGCTTATTGCGCAGCTGCTCCTGCTCCGTTCTGGCATGCTCGATCTCGCGCAGATGTTGGCTCTTGCGCATGGCCAGCTCCTCCTTTTCCTCGTCCGTCTTCTCGCGCTTCTTGCGAACCTTCTTGTCGCTGGGACTCACAGCGCCAGAAGCACACGCCGACTCCAGTTCTATTTCTAACGGCTCTTCAAGCTCATCGTCACAGGTGTCTTCCTCGTCCTCGCCCTCGCCCTCGCCGCTGGGCACCAGCTCGTCCTCAAAGCTGCCCTCCTCGAGCTGCTTGCGCAGCCGCGCGATTTCCTCCTGGAAATGCCGCAGCAACGCATCCTTCGGCTCCTCGTTGATGTGCATGCGATTCTGTATGTTCTTGGCGCGACCCGCATAGCGCAGCGTGGAGATCGTCTCCATATAGTTGCAATCCGCCGGGCTTATGGTCGCGCACATGACCGTCTTGGAGTTGCCGCCCAGCGAGTCCTGCAGCAGGCGCGTCAGCTTCGAGTTGCGATAGGGAATGTGCGTGCTCTTGCCATCCACCAGGGCGCTTATCACATTGCCCAGCACCGAGAGCGACAGATTGATTTTGGTGGCCTCCTTCAGGCGCTGTCCGCTCGCCTGTGTCTTGGACTGTCGCTCCGATCCGGCCAAATCGACCAGCTGCAGCTTGCCCATGCGGACATGCTGCATGCCGCCCTCGACCAGCTCGCTGCTCTCCACGGTTATCGAGAAGATGGCATGCGAGCGCGAGGATTCCTGATTCATTTTGGTGGCGCCGACGGCTCGATTCTTATTGCCCAGTCGCATAATATTCTCCAGATCGTCCGCATTGTGCACCACATAGCCGCTGAGATCCTTGACAAAGACGCCAATGTCCGGCCGCTCCTTGACCTCTAGGCTTTTGCTCACGTCCTTGCCGAGAAGATCGCGCACCTCCTCGTTGTAAATCTCCATGTAGCTGACGCGCACCAGAAACTTTTGATTCTCCTGCGCCTTGGCGATGTGCCCAAAGATGTGCGCAAATGCGTTCGGGATGATGCCCTTGGTCTGTGGAGAGTCCGGATTGCCGGACATGGTGTATGTCTTGCCGGTGCCCGTCTGGCCGTACGCCAATATGGTGCCATTATAGCCCTCCAGCACCTTGTCCACAATCGGACGCGCCGTGTCCACATACAAGTCCAGCTGGTTGGAGCCACCGTCGAAGACGTTGTCAAAGTAATATGTTTTGGGCGGCTCGTTGGCGGTGGCATTCGGCTTGATAACGGTAATGGCACGGTTGATCTTATCCACCTGAATGGCGCTAAGGGCACCAATGGACTCCTCATTTGTGTCCATGGGCCTGGAGCGGACCACAACACGAACATTTTCGATTTCGTCATCGAGCTTCTGCGACGATGTCGCCGTTGCCTGCTCCTGCGGCATATTTGGACTCTAACTGTTAACGGTTAACAATAATTCGAAACTTTTGCCTAAATATACACTTATGGTTAACAAATGAAAAGTGTTTTTCTTCGCATTTGTTTATGCACCCGTTGCTATGAGTCGTCTGCCAATAATAAATTTTGCAAATTTTTGACAGTGTGGCCGCAGCTCGTGAGGCTGTGTGGAGTGAGCTCTGTTAAATGCGGGGGCGTGCAAAGCGTAATGTTAAAAGAGGAGTTGCCTCTGTTAAATATTAATAAATTGAGTTGACTGAACTAAGAAGTTTATTGAGTCAGAAAATGTATGTGAGACCAACTATTCGCTATGTTAAGTGTGGAGCGGACTCTGTTTTATGAGGAGCACGCACTGTTAATTGCGTGGGTGTGCACTCGGAGGAGCACATTCTGTTTACCTGAGGAGTAACGTTTGTTAAGTGTGACGACTGAAAAACGGCGAGTAAACATCTGCCAGCGAGAAGCGAGCGACCCACTAGCAGTGGAATAGATAGATTCGCGCTGCCCTTTAAGTTTCCTTACACGACCAGACGCAGAAAATTTAACTCCGGCCAGCATGGCAGCGACATTGCGAAGATTCAATGGCTTCAGATTGCTAAAATCTACGCCAGCACTGAATCTGCAACAGGTAAATCCCCGCCGCCCTCAATCATCATACGCGAAAATTTTCCCCAACGCGCCAGCAACTCCCAGCGTTTCCAATCATTACAACATTAATTTTGCCAATAATGATCATGTTTAAGTGAATTTACGTTGAATGCCCCAAAAACTGTGCATCATCTGTGATGATTTAACTGGTATTAACCCAAGTGCTGCTGTAGATTACACTCGACCCACAATTATGTAACTCCATGCAAAAATCATACGTGCAGTTTTTTGCTGGGCTAGAAAACCTAATCAATTCTCGTCTACTTGCAGGCCAAGAACCTGTCCACGGCTTCGAGCTGGGCGAGCAGCAACAAAAAGGTAAGTACCAAGTCACCAAATTGGACACTGAGAATTTCATAATAGCCAAGCGGACCTAACCTCAAAACGCGTTTACCTTTCTTTCGCCCAACGCTCGACGCTTGTTGTTGTGTGCGTGTCGCGAACAGCTGATCAGTGCCATCGGTGCTGTTACCGGCGGCGTTGGTGCGCTTCTGTTTGCCCTGGAGCAATCCGTGGATGCTAACAGCGGTGAGGTGCATTCGCCTGCCCAGCCCTGGAACCACAAGGGTCTCTTCTCCTCGCTGGATCACCAGAGGTGAGTGATAGTTATCCAAGGATTCAGTTGTTATGAATTCCATTCCGCAGCGTGCGTCGTGGCTACGAGGTGTACAAGCAGGTGTGCTCCGCCTGCCACTCGATGCAATACATTGCCTACCGCAATCTGATTGGCGTCAGCCATACCGAAGCTGAGGCCAAGGCCGAGGCCGAGCAGATCACGGTGAGCAGAATATATTGCCACATTTCAATTTATCCTTTGACATATGATTGAAATTAGGTGAAAGACGGTCCTGATGATAGTGGCAACTACTACGATCGTCCCGGCAAACTCTCGGACTACTTCCCATCGCCGTATCCCAATGAGGAGGCTGCGCGTGCTGCTAACAATGGTGCCTATCCACCGGATTTGAGCTACATCGTGTCCGCGCGCCATGGCGGCGAGGATTACATCTTTTCGCTGTTGACCGGCTACCATGATCCGCCAGCTGGTGTAGTGCTGCGCGAGGGCCAGTACTTCAATCCGTACTTCCCTGGCGGTGCCATTTCCATGGCCCAGGTCTTGTACAACGAGGTGGGCATATATACAGACAACCAAAAGCCTGTTAAATTCCTTGACATTTGCGCTTATTTACCGACTAGGTGATTGAGTATGAGGATGGCACACCGCCAACACAGAGTCAATTGGCCAAGGATGTGGCCACGTTCCTCAAGTGGACATCGGAGCCGGAGCACGACGATCGCAAACAGCTGCTGATCAAAGTGATTGCCATTCTCGGCTTCCTGACTGCCATCTCGTATTACATTAAACGGCACAAGTGGTCCTCGCTCAAGTCCCGAAAGATCGTCTTTGTGCCCAAGGAGAAGTAGACATGTGTTTAAATTTGATTTGGCGTGAAGAATTGCAGTGTTAACGCGGCTTTACCGACTAATGAAAATAAATCAATTTTAAGCATAAAACCCAGGAAATGTTCGTTCACACACACACAAAATTCAATTAAAAGAAATAACAGCTAATAACAAGTAACATGCCAGAACAGGAAAAACCAAAATGCCTAGTATAAACGAGGATGCACGAAGAACCACGAAGCCAAGAATAACATCAGGAAAACGGGGAGTTCAACTAAAGCAAAGAGCCTAGACAAAATGAATCATGGATACTATTACATGTATTGTGTATAAATCTTTAATTCAAATTATGTATTTAAATAAACAATTGAAAAGAAAAACCCGAAGCGATTCGTAGCATTTTGTTTTAAGTAAAATTCTGGACTCTAGCAGTCATAAAGAAAATCAGAATTCTCGGAACCGTTAAAAATGAAAAACAAAAGAAATCATTAATAATTCTCTGGTGGATCAGTCGACATTGGTTCAAAGTTCGCTTGAAAATTTCGGGTTCTATAAACATTATTCCAAATTCAATTTAAACCTTTTACGACTGATGCGCACTCAAAACGCATTTTGGCTTTTCTTTTTATTGGATTATTAATTGTTTTATTTAGAAGCTTAAATTAAAATATTATTTTAATCATTTTTTTTTTCATCGTTCTGCCCGTTCGACTACTGCATCAGTTTAGTGTGTGTATGTGTGTGTGTGTGTGTATAATTGTTTATATATTTACCGCAATTTTCAAGGATTATAAATCGTGTCTCACATCCCATTAGAAGAAGGAAAACTAATTTAATTGTTACAATTGCCTCGGTTCGGTTCATGTTTTTGTTTTTTTTTTCTCGTTTTTTTGTTTTTACTACAAAAAATTCGCTTAAATTTGTATATATATATATATAATTAATAAATTTTTTAGTTATGCAAAACAATAATTACGATTCATCTTCTTCGCTGCAACGAAAAACAGAACTCGCTTAATTTTTTATCTTATAATGTGGTTTTAAGTTTACGAATTTGCGTTTCTTTTTGTTGTTGTTGTTGTTGTTTGTTTTGTAAATAGCGTGAGTAAAATTATAAATGTATCTTTTCGCATGGTGTAAGTGTGTGTGTTTTTTACTTAATCATTCTTTTACTTGAGTTTTTATTTGTTTTATTTCTTAGCTAAGAATGTGGGTAACCAAACATGATGACATTCGTACGACGCTCGATGACGGAAGGGACGACGACCATTTATATTAGTGACGTTTGCTGTGGCTGTTCTTCTGCTTCTGCTTCTGTTTCTTTTTCTACTTCTTGTTGTTGTTGCTGTTGTTGTTTACACTTATAGTATATTTTGCTTTAGTTCTTGTTGCTGCTGAACACACACACACATTCAAGAAGTACAACAACAACGACAACAATGCAGCTCCTTGGCTCCTCCAACTGCTACTCTCTAAACCTCTCCATTCGCTCTGACATTACCACACACAACTCTCGAGGATTGAGGCGACTTACCATGGCGGGCACGCGCTCTCTCACTCTCTCTCTCTCTGACATGCACTTCAGTTGAGTGCAGGTGTTGCTGTTGTTGTTGCAGTTGTGTGTGATATAGTTGTTGCTGCTGTTGTTGTTGCTGTTGTGGTTGTAGGTTGTTGTTGCTGTTGTTGTTGCCGACTAAAAACAGCTACCTTCTGGCGGTTGTGCCAATTTCAAGTTCTCTTTCATGGTCATAATCCTACGTATTTCCTGAAGCATCGTTTTAATGGTATACTCGCGACTCCATCTGGACAACATGGGCACTGATCTATGATCAACCTGTATCGAAAAAAAATAGCATTTGAATCATTTATGGGACTCTATTTGATTGTTATACTCACCACGCCATTATTCTGATTAATGCAATTTATATTAACTTTTGTTAAAAATCTGAGCGTTGGTGGCTCATCCGGATAGCGTTCGCCGCACTCAATCTTTAGAGAATACATTCGATTCTCGAATGGTGTCTGGAAAAAAGAACGAGTCATATGAATAAGTGAATTAGAAGTGTGCATTTAATGGCCTGTCGATTATACAACCATGTGCATATATGCACTTCTGTATCTCTCTATTGCCACCTTCCCCCTTCTCAGTAGGAACTAACAATAATTGCCCGGACAGGCTCTCGCACACTCGATGATGACTCAGCGGGCGCTGGCAGTGCAACTAACCATGGTGAATATACATGATTCATGGCGTGCGCAACATTCCGCCACACTGCAATGCTTTATTATTGCTTATTCATATAACTAAATGCATTAATTTCAACTCGAGTTTTGCATGATTTAAAGTTTTTCGCTGCCATTGAAAAGTTTATTTGCTGTACAGCTTATCTCTTAACTTGTTATCAACATTTCAAAATGAATGTGCTGGTAATCTATTTTATATAACAGAACTTGAACGCGGCAACAAATCTAGTTAATATCGTTCTATGCAAGATGTTTCGTTTCCCATTTAGTGCCAATATACATAGGTGGAACAATTTCACCCGTTCCGATCGTTTCCTTGATCTTTCTTTTAGGTTCTAACTAGAATGCAATAAGTATTCTAACTCTGGTGCAATTTTTTAATCGGAATAGACTATTATTTAAATGTAATTTACTGTTTACTTTTGATGACCACAACATCGATGATAAGGCAACAAGAGTTCTCTATTGATTTCAACATTTCCTTCAACTATTTCATTTGTTTACTGCCTAAATAAACATGTTTTCTGTATGTCTGTTTTCACGTCTGTTCATAAATCCAATCCCACACCCGTTTGTCTGCGCTGAATTTTGGGTTTACGCAATCGATTAGATACAATATCTATAATCCCAGCACTGATAAGGTTTGCGGCTCATTTAAGTAACGTAGTAGATGGAGTATGACGCGGAGAGGTGAGGTGCACTTACTCTAGGGGGGCCAATGATCATGCCAATCCAATAGGTGAGTGTCATATCATCGTCGTTCTCTAGACCCCACGAAATGGTGCCATCGCCCACGCCTTTCTGGCCCTGATCCAGCTCCTCCAGAAGGCGAAAATTTCGTGGCACCACTGAAACGAGAAAATTAGGCAACTATAAATTTCCATTTAACTCGGGTCGACGGTTTTAAACACTGGGCTTGGGGGAGGGGGGCGGGTAATAAACTGGCCGAAGGCTGTAATTAAGAAATAAAGCGTGTTTGGCGCGGGGTCATGTGGTTGTAGTAGACGTTCTCTTCGCACTCTTCTTCCACCGCATATTGCTATTGTTGTTGTTGTTGTTGTTATTGTTATTGGCCGTGTGTCTTGCGTTGTTTTTCCTTCGCTCGTGCGGCTGCTTTGCACGCATTTTCGTATGCTCCAAGTGGAAAAAAAATTAATGCGAATACCGGACGAAGGGTGTGGTATCAGTTAGTTTGGTTAGTTTAGTCGGTTGGTTGGTTGCCTGGTTAGCTCTAGTTGTCGGTGGCCCCCACCAGCCCCTCCCCATTCGTGCACACACAAGACATAATTTGTATGCAAGCGTTGAAGATATATGCGCAAAGTGAATTTGCAGCAGCAGCGGCCAACTAATTTAATTAGAAATTAAAGAAGCACTTTGGCTAGCAGCAAAGGCAAAGAGCATAAAACCAAGTGGCTGAGCAAACGAGCAAAAAAAACACACACACACAATTGAAAAGGGACACATTCAACGGCCAAGGGGGGAGCAGGTGTGTGTGTGTGGGGTGCAGGCCCCACCGAAATTGTCAAGTCACGAAGAAAAATTGCTGCATAGCGACTTTCAACTGCAACAGACAGACACAACACCGTGGCTGGCTACTTGTTTTCCAATATGAATTAATATGCTCGCGTTTTATCGGCAGTTTTTTTTTTATTTTTGCCATTTGCTTTCTTTTCCATTTTCACAGAGAGCTGCGGGGCAGTGGCAGCGCTGCGGCAGCGGGCCGTCATCGTTCAATAAAAAATCGTTTTGCGCATACGTTTTATGCTACACTTTCGCACATTTCGCTGGCCAAATATGGCCTACACGTTGGCAGTGCTCGCGGGCACGTGCTTTTCAATCAAATTCCTTGCCAAATTGTTAATTTTACAAATTAAATTCTTACCAACGCCGGTACTAGATGTATGCGCCATTGTGGTTTATCCTAGAGTGTGTGTGTGTTTTGGCTTATTTTAGCGCATTCTTTGCAAGCACACTTAAGTGTGGTGTTAATTAGGACATTTTTTTTTGACAGCGTTGCCAGACCATAAGGGTCGGCAGGTGACACTAATTGTCGATTACCGATAAGTCGATACGATAACAACACACCTAGGCAATTGGACTAATTTGCAACGCGTCAGCTTTTTGAAACGAAATAATTTTACGTGTTAATTTAGCAGTTTATTACCTTACTGATAAACGCTTTCATCGCATGCTGCTTGCGCGCGTGCACTGAAAATCACCGACAATGGAAACACTGTACCATCAAACCAACAACACTGTCAAGGAAATTGAGCAATGTTTTCAGCGATTGGGCCAGATTGCACCGCAGGAAGCGCTTGACGTGGAGAACACGATACAAGTGAAAATCACCCAGGCCAATTCGTGAGTCACCCCTACCCACCCGCTTTCCAACAGCTGGTTAAATTTCACAATTTTCACAGCAACTGCGATAGACTCGATGTGCTGCTATTTAAGGTGCCACCCTCGCAGCGGCAGAGCTCCAAGCTGCGCATAGATCAGCTAAAGTACGACTTGCGGCATTTGCAAACATCACTGCAGCACGCGCGTGATCGTCGCCAGCGCCGTCAGCAGGAGATCAGCGAGCGAGAGCAGCTGCTTAACCATCGTTTTGCTGCAAATAGCACTGCACCATCGGAGACGTGCCTGCAACTGGACTATGAGCTGCAACATCACACACAGATGGGCAATGCCCATCGGGGTGTGGACGACATGATTGCCTCTGGAAGCGGCATACTGGAGAGCCTCATATCACAGCGAATGACACTGAGTGGCGCCCACAAACGTATACAGGCCATTGGCAGCACACTTGGGTTGTCCAATCACACAATGAAGTTGATAGAGAGAAGGTTGGTTGAGGATCGGCGCATCTTTTTGGGCGGCATGGTGGTCACAATGCTAATAATTGGATTGATAATATATTATTTAGTGCTGTAGTAAAACGAATATATCTAGCTCGTGTTTTAAATTAAATGTACTCTATTTAAGTGAAAAATATTCACTTCCTTTCTTCTGAACAAGCCATCGACTTAATCGTCGTTTTCTAGGGAGATGTTGCTGCCGAAACGCTGGTAGAGATGTGCTTTCAGCTCATCCATCTCAGCCTTGATGATCTTTGTCTTGGCTTCAATGCTAGCAATTTCCTTAATCACACCATCCTTCGTCTCAGCGAGCAGTTCCTGCGTTTTGCCTAGCTTGTGTGAGAGAAATACCTCGCCAATTAAAAAGGGAATATCTTCCTCCTCGTCGAACAGTTCGATTTCTTCCAATGCCTCCTCAACGCATTTGAGGTCATTCTTTTTCATCTCCAGCTCCATCTTCAAGTCATCCATGCGGACATTGTGCTTGGCAAAACGGTTGATACGCTGTTGATCCTCGAAAGAAATGTGCACATCATCGTGCTGCAGATGGAAACCGAATGGGATTAGTCAACGCCCCAGCATGCTCGCAGCAGGTGGAAGCAAAGTGAGGTTACTCTGGCGTGCCGCGGGTTCTCTAACATGCACTTACATTCTGGAACACTTTGCTTGTATTGCTAGCTACTTTGGCGGCCATTTCTGTTGAATTTTATGAGCTTTTTTTTAAATAAATTAATGTTTTTTAAAACAGTTGGCGTTTGCAACTTTTTTGTTATTCTGGCTGAAAAGTATGCTGTGGAGGTCGTCGATATTTTATATTGTCAGCTATCGAAAGCTAACAGAAGTATGCCAAGTTAACAGATGTTAGATAGCACTGTCAGAAACAGCAGCTGAGACAGACGGACGTCATTCGCAGTTTTTTTCCTATTTTAAGGCACAAATTCTGATTTGTCAAGGTAATTATTTAACGTAATAAATGCCAAAAATCTGCCAAGTGCTGGGCACTATAAATATGCCCAATTATTGGTTGGCAAAGGTACAACAACCAGCTGCAGTTGCAGACGTTCCCAGTGCAAAAATTACATAACCTCTTTGAGGCTAAGTGCAGAATGTTTATAATAACTATTTGTGTCTTTATCCAAATACTCGTTGGCTTCATATGTGGTTTGTAATCCCGACTCCATTTATCTCCACTGTCACGCCCACAGCTTAAAACATGCGTCTAACCTCGATCCTGAACGGCGCCCACTTCGGCAACCTCGCCAAGGTGCACGGCATTGTCGTCTACAAGCTATCGCCCTTCGAGCAGCGCGCTTTCGCCGGCGCGATCAGCCACGGTCTGCCAAACATTGTGCGCCGCATCCGCTCCAACATCTTCCGTGTGACACCACGTACGTTTGTGCATTGTATTCCATTCTTACATGGTCTAATCATTGTTATACTTGCAGCCTTCATCCTGGGTTATCTGATCTACGATTTGACCGAACGCAAGCATACAGCTTTGCTACGCAAAAACCCTGCTGATTTTGAGAATGACGAATAAACGAACTGTCTCCTAGTCAGCACACATTAGCAAATAGTGATGTTAAGCTAAATAATAAAACAAAACCCGCAGTTCAATCGAGTGCAATTTCTGTAATATGGTTTGCTAGAGACTTTGATAAAGTATTTGGGAAAATTGTAAGAAAAAAAGGTTTTTTGGAAAAGCATAGAATGTGAATTGCTAACGTGATAATAGTTGGATTTAAGTTAGTGAGCAGCTAAAATGATTTAAATTATAAATATTTGATATCTCAATTAAAGTTAACAGCTGTTGGTAGCGTTGCCATATGCTAGACACTTTGTCATACGGCTTTCAACACTACAGTTTTTATGCCCTTGCCAACACTCTCGCTCAAAACAGCTGTTCGTCACCAAAAACAAGAGACTTAAATTTTATACACATCTAACGCGAGGATAGCTGTAGTTTTTTTTATTTAAAAGCCATCGTACTTAATATATGTCATATATATGGACTGCTGTGGTAGTGAAGTGCGCAGCGAAAGCATTTACAACATGCTGCAAGCCTTAGTCGACTCTAAAGTAATCAACGTCCAGTTGTTTACCATCGCTGTGGGCATTTTCTTTGTGGTGCTGCTGTTGAAAAATAATTTTCGTAGCTTCTCGGGCACATAAAACAAGCTGAATCCTGGCGAATTTAGTGGTTAATTAATGTAATAATGTAATGTAAACAATTTAGCTAAGCAATAATAATAACCATTCAAAGCAAAATATAATTTTGTTCATTGTTCTTATTCTTAGAGTGGAGCACCATGGCAATGACGTCACATTTGTGGGCCAGCTTCGCAGTATTCATTTTACAAAAACGGTTCAGGGTCATCGCCGTCGTTGGCTGGCACCTGAGCGAGGCATGAACTAATACAAGCGTCAATTATAAAGCAAACATAATGCATACTAATTGCAAGCGAAGGTCAATTGAACAGGTTTAGTACCTAAGGGGTTGTCCATCAGGCTGCCAAAAATATAAATATTTGTGTAACGTCTATTTCATCAGAAGCTTGTGAATCATGGTATATTCAAAGATAAGATTGTCTACAAGTGGCTCTTGTGATGCAGTGTTGCAATTACTTTCCTATAATTAGTTCTATTGAGCCCGCCTTTGAACTTTTGGCCTAGTTCTTTTTCTTTTCCTTTTTATAACGTTCCCATAAGTTGCAACTACGCCCAATCAATTTCAATTGGCATTTGGTTTATGTTTGCCACAAATAACTTCAATTGACCAACGATCGTTTGTTGCACGCACTTCCTGGTGCAGTCGCAATCGCGTCGCGTATTAGAATTCAATAGACGTTCTGAGGCGTGACCTACGCCATTTTTGGACTAGGCGCTGGAGTATTTATGGGAAATATGCTACGTGCTGTTTTGCACAAATTTTGCATTAGGATACGAATGCACCGAACAAAGCAGACGTAACGCTTGCAATTGCTGTCGGAGTCCAATCGAAAGACCGAAACGTGACACTTTTACCACTTGTTGGACTGCAAATAAGATGAAATAGTTGTCAATTCAATCAAAATTTAAAATGTTTGTATGATGCCATGCGATTCTTCATTCTGATGTACATTTCCATCACATCGCTCAAATCTGGATGAAAAATCCCAGACAGTTCACAATGGAACTTCAATTTTTTCCTTACTGCGAGCCGAATCGAGACAAGAGCCATCAGATTTTCCTTAAACAGGTGAGCCGCATAAAGCCATAGTTAAAAAAAATGGAATTTTCCAAAAAAAATGTTTAATTCAGCGTGACAAAGTCACTTAACATTGACCTTAGATTCGGCGCTGATTAATTAAATGTAAATTGAGAAAATTCATTTAAATGGTGAAAAAATCTGCTGTTCGAAACAGAAACTTGGTTAATGTTGAAAATCAGGTTCATGAACCGAACCACAGACAGGGTCGTTTTTCTTTTTTTTGGTTTGGAATATGTATTTTATATCTATATATATATATTTGCTCGAAATGCAGCGCAATAACTTAACGCATTTTCTCTGTTAAACATTGTCAATGAACTTGGAGGCAGAGAAATTCTAAGAAACCAGAAACGAATTGCTGACCGAAGTTCCGCCAAAGCGGGGTTTTAATGAATGAGCCGACAGTTTTTGTTAAGTAACAATTATGAGACGTCATTTCGCTATGCATACAGTTTTAATACTTTGAAACAATACAAGAATTTAATTTAAAACAAAAAATACGATGATATATAAATATTGAAATCTTGTTACAACTTGTTGATCGGCTTGGAACATATGTAGCTAATTGCGGTGCAGTTTGTTTCTGAGTGCTGTGCCTAGACAGGAAAAGTTTGGTTTCTTTCCAGGTTTGCACCTGGTGCAAATATCCGAATCCTTTCCCTCCCCGTCACAGCTATCGACCTCAAAAGCATCCGATTTTTGAAGATTTGTGAACTGCTTTGGGACCTTCTGTTCGTGATTTGACTTCTGGTCCAAATTTTCAATTAGTCCCAAGAACTCAGCGTGCTGCTCATTATAGCGTGCTATGATCATGTCACGGCGTTTCAGCTTGGACATGAGTTCCTTTACGTTACTCTGCAGCCTGTCCACCTGCTGCGCCTTGGCGCTGATGCAGGTCATGTCCTGGCGCACGCTTTGCAGCTGCGTTTCCAGTTGGGTGGCGCTGGACTTGACCTCGCCCATTTGCTTCTTGTACTTTAAGCGCGTTCTTTGTATCTGCTCCTCCAGATAGGCAATGTACAACTCCTGATTTGTTTGACCCGTTTTGGCAAGCTTTTTAACATCAATCTGAGACCTTTGGCAGCATTCGCCGCCGCCGTCGCACAGCTCGAAATGGTTGGCATGCATCCGGTAGAGCTCATCGCGATCCGAGCGCATCAGGGCCAGCTCCTGGCGCAGTAGCAGTATCTCCTGCTCCAAACGTGAGGCCTTCGACATTGTCACAGCTCACTTTTGCAATAACGTATAAAAATCAAAATTGTTGCTTGGCTCTTAAAGAAAATTTTGTTTACACTTCTTGTGAATTTGGCTATGTAAATCGTGAGAACATAAAGACTAAAGAAATTTATAGCTTAGATGTCGGAATACTTGAATATTTGACGTCCAAAGAAAGGAAGGCTTTAGAAAATCAAATTTAAACTCAAAATCGATTTTATTTCTTTTATCATGAGTCGCATCCTAAGTCAAAGCTAAGCCGAAATCTGAACTGAACCATGAACCGAACCAAAAAGAAACACTCTTAAATTTTGTTGAAGCCCAGTTGAATGTATTATCTGGATGAGCTATAGATGTTTTTCTACGGCTATATCATCGAAGAGCACGTGTCCGGTTAGTTATTAGCCCTATTGAGTCGGTAAGTCAATAAAGTCAGTTGGCCATTAATGTAGACGGCTACCTAATTTCTGTTTCGTCGCATTAAGTGCTCAATTTCATGAGCATTACATTTTGTTTTTTTTTTTTTTTTGGGTAACGCTCAGAGAAAATGACTGCAATTTGATCGGGGTATTTCAATATCGCATAATTTGCATCACAGAATTTGCGTTTGGGCCTTTAGTGCGGGGCGTACGGGATTTAAACGCGTCACGCCCACAGCTCTGATGGTGGCCCAGAGGGCGAAACGTCCATTGCCAAACCAAGCAAGGCCCAGTGGCAAAGCCAACACACACACACACACATACATACGTGTTGTATACTTTGCCATTTCGCTGTTTGGTTTTCTCTTTTTTCTTTATTTTTGTTTGTAAGCATAATTTGTATTTTTCGCCTCGAGATGCCGCACATTTGATAAGGGTTATCGATACCCGGTCTCGGGACCGAGCCCAGTTGCTTATTATGATTTTTTTCTCAAAGCCTTAATACCCTCTATCAATGTGATAGGGTCGAAAGGGTGTACTAATACTGTGTAACGTAAGCTCGTCTGTTTATCTGTCTGTCTTTAACTCTGTATTCTAATCACAAAATTTGGAATGAAATTTCCTTAACGACTTCGACTTTCATTTTTAAATGCGTTGCGCCCTTCTTTGCAATTCTCATTGGCTGAAGTTATACTTACTAGTTTTAGTTCTGAATTCTGAACACCTTCTCCCTATATATACATATATATATATATATATGTAACATGTTATTTCTCCCTATCTCTTCTCTTCTACTCAATAATTCTATCGCTTGAGCCCTCTATTTGTAACTCTCTCCTACAAACTCACTCCATATTCTTTTGTTCTCTCTCTTTCCCTATTCTTTTCTCCTGTCTGGCCTTCTATCTCACTTATGCAAAGCCGTAAGCCTCACTTGTATTCGTGAGAATCGCATAGAAAGGTGTTCTATTTTTGATAGTATGAAAATTGGTGCCACATACAAGTATTTAATATGTTTTTGGCACTCTGCCTCCCTTCTTTTTGAGATTCGGTACAGAGTATCTTTTAGTTGAACCCTTTTTGAAGAGATCATCTTGGATTTTTTTGTAAATTTATAAGTTGTAATTCATTTGGTATAGTGCTTTATGTGGCGTATATGCATGTGTATGGGGGGCATAAATTTGGCTGAGGTATGTGTCTTTTGCATGCCTTTACCTCAGAGACAGAGAGAAATATTGCACTTCAGATCGTATTGCATGTGTTTTGTGTAAGGCATACGGTAGTATAATGATGCATGTATCTTATAGTAGACTTCCCGAGTATAGCATGAAAATGATTTCTTATATTGTTCACCTACAAAGCCTCAAACTTGCTTCGGAACTGTGCTAATGATCTTTCTAGCTGCGATGATATCACATTATTATAACAGTCGAGCCCTTTCGCAGCTCAATGTCAAGGTCTTTTTGAATTAAATCTGTTTTTTTCTGATATTTTGTTGTTGTTGTTGTTTTCTCAATTTGACAAAGTTGTTCCCACTTGAGCAATTTGCATAAATTCAAGGTCAGTCGCACAATAAAAATCCAGACATGATTTGTGATACGCATGCGTCTGTGTGTTTTGTGTGTTGTGTGTGTGTGTTTGTGTGTCTGAATCTTTTTTTCGGTAACTTTTGTGCCAGATTGTGTGGCAAGTTCAAACTATGCGAAATTTAGATAAGCGTGTGGAAAGGAAGCTGAAAGCATAAAGCAGAACCAGGAATATACATTTTGAAAATATTTGAAAAATCTTTAAAAAATTTTAAGTTTTAAAAAACTTATATTAAGTCAGTTGCAGCTGCATTTAAAGTTCGCAGAGCACACATAATTTAATGCACTTTAAAAATACTTTATTTTGTTTCTAATAATTTTAAAAAATATTTCAAAAAAATTGAGCCAGTTTTCAAATAAATTTAATTTGTTTGAAGTCAATTGTAGCTATATCTAAAGTTGACACAACTTGACGCACTCTAGACTTCTTTGAAGCGCAATCAGGCCAAACAACTGCCAAGGCAGACGGGCCATGTGCCGAAAACTGATATCAAATGCAAAATCCAAACAAAAAAAGACGAAAAAAAGCTTAATAAAAAAGAAATAATAAAAGCAAAAACTTGACTAACATCTACGAAAAGAAAAGAATGGATAAGGACAGCAGCAGCAGCAGACAATAAGCAGACAAGGCGAACCCAATTTCCAGACCCAGACGCAGACACAGAAGCGGGCAACGAAGGGACTCAGGGGCCGAGAGGCAGAGGGGCACAGCGGAAAGCTGACAAACTTGAGGCTGCGTCTGGGTTTTGGGTCCGTCGACGACGTAGACGTAATCTAGACGCCTTTTGTTTGCACAAAAAACCAAAAAAAATAACAAAAAAAACAAACAAAAGCAAAATAAGGGCCAGCAGAGCGAAGGCTCCGCCGGCTTGTAGAGTGGAGAGCGGAGAGGGGCTCAGGGGGAGCCTGATCAAGTGCTCTACTTAGTTGCGGGCAGCCAGTTGAAGGAGTAGCCACGCCCACAGCTCCGAAATGTTTCAGATTGCTTTTTCTAAATTTCACTTTAATTGCGCTTAATTCAAACTGCAGACTTAGGCGAAGACTTTGCCCCGGTTATTTTTTCTGGCTTTTTCTATACTTTATATATTTATATATGTATATATTTATATATATATACTTCGCGTGCTTGTCGATTGCATTTGATTTAATTCGATTGCTAGACGCCAGACATTACGCAACAAATGTCGCCAATTTTGGACCACTTTGCAGAAACGTGACAGTCGCTTGATAATGACTGACCTATACTCTGTTCTTGTTCTCCTTTTCTTGTGTGACTTGTAGAACAGTTTTGCTTAAAATAGTGGCTAGCCTTAGTTTTTCGGGAACTAATTAGGGTTAATACACTTTTTTTAAAGAATTGCATGCCAGAAAAAAGAGAATCTGTTTCAGATATTTACTGGAAGCAAACATTACTAAGAAAATAATTTGTGACTCCAAAACTGTAAGCCCAATTACTGACGGTCGCTTTCAAACTGTGATTTGAGTAAAAAATTGGTTTTCACAATGTCTGGGCTAGGCCGTAATCTCAAAAAGAGCTCATATGGGGCCTATTTCAGTCGAATTTGTTGAGCATATGTATCTATAACTCTGTGAGATATATAATTTTTACGAATCCTTCGCTCCCTGAGGTTCGTAGCTTAGAAATCGAGCCCCTTTAACTGACTCGAATAAACTTCTAGTTTGCAGTCTTCCTTATCAATAACCGTTCCCGAACTGACAGCCGCGCCTTGTACCCAACCCATATACCCTTTTCAATATAGTGTACAGTGTATGCATGGAGAAAAAAAGTTGCAATTTGCGTGGCAGACAATTTAGATTGGATTTCATTAAACAGGTTGCTGTTGCCATGCGTTGACATTTTGATAAAAAATTATTAGTTTAAAAAAAAATGTATGTTTGAAATACTATGTGCACACTGTGCCGCAATCGCACACTGGAACGCACTAGGCAAATCAATCGACAGCATCTACATGAAATTGACTTTAAAAGTAAATGAAATATGCAACAGTTCTTAGAATGCCCCAGACTCTTCAAATGGGGGTAAACGCCTCCCTACGGGATATTAGCTTTGCAAATTTTGCACTTTTGGCGACGCTTTTCAATCAAGAATTGGGCAACAGACATCCGCTCCGCATCACGACATTTGCAAATTCCAATTTATGTAAAAAACAAACCAATTATTTCTTATTTATACACCCCAACACACACACACACACACTATAAAAAGGCGAAATACCAAACAAAAACTCGCGAAACATAACTCAAAAAATGCAAACTTCAATTTCCGACAGGCACAAAAGCCTGGCCCTTTCCCAATCCCCACTGTACCTCATCTCTGCGAGGAAGTGGAAGGGGAGGGGGGGGGGGGGGGTGCGCAGAAGAGTTATTAAAACTGCATAAGAAAAAAACAAACACAAAGTTTGTTATGTTGCGCAGGCGCAGCCCAAGTAACTCCCTCAACGGCTTTGTGGTGGGGCGGCGGGAGGAGCAGGACGTGAGGGGTGGCAGCAAAATGTTATTGACCCGCCGCACGGATCCGTTAGCGAGCCACAGCCCCGGCCAGGAATTCTTATTAAGATCAATCAGCTAAATGTCGGTTTTATGCTTAATGTTCATGATTCACACGCGCAAAAGCACCAAAATCGAAAAACCCGAAACAAAGAAGAAGACACAACCAAAGCCTTATCTGAGGCATGTGAACGAATGAATATTCTTGCTAAAAACTTGCTTTTAATGGATTTGTGCGAAAAATTCTGATATCGTACTTAAGAAAGTAAAAAGAACGCAAAAATAATGAAAGTCCTGCAGAGAAATGTTCAAAGAGCTGAAGCTGTTAGGCTTGCAGAAGAAGTATGTATTCATGTGAATCGCATAGAAGAGTCATATTCATGAGCAAGTGATTTTTAATTAGTGTTGCGCTGTTCATATACCGCAGCGCAGCAAATATTATTTTTAATATGGCCTTTCTTTGAGGTTCTCATGAGCAAGTTTTCTTGCTTTGAGTTGAAGTGTTTAGTGTATGTGTGTTATGTTAAAAGGTGATATTGTCATTCTAATATACATTAATTTAATGTATTTATGTATGCATGTATGTAAGCATGTGCGTATGTATGCATGTATGTCTGCGTGCGTGCATTTATATTTGTATATATGTATCCAATACGCGGACCACGTTTGCTTTCCCCTGTGCTGCAAATAAAAAACAAATATATATTAAAGTAGGGCCTCACTATGCGATTCTCATGAAGGGTTTATATATAGTTCCCTCAAATATACAACATGATTCTATTGTTATATTCAATCTATAAAGTGTTAACCCCTAACTAGAAAAACCTTTTATTATGGAATCGTTTATCCTTACTTTCGTTCAACTTTCGACTACAAGCTCCATAGCAAAGTCACATTACTCGCTAAATACCCTATCTTATACACAAGAGATGCGCAACAAACTTTTTGGCAATCCTTTTACAAAGTTGTCGGCGAGTTTTTATGCTGAGAAATTGAGTTTTGCTTGCTTAATTAGTCATGGCAACGTTCAGATATGAAAGTTAGGAGGAGTCGAACACATAATGTGTGCATGTATGTATGTATGTATGTATGTGTGCGTATGTATAGCACGCGTATTAATAACTATATAGAAGGCAATTCTAAATGCCTTATCACAAATGACACACATTGTGGGCCAGCCGATAAGAAGACTATGCAGCTTCAGTGCTCTCTTATACTTATCTCTCTCTCTCTCTCTCTCTCTTAGCCTCTCTCTCCTTCTCTCTCTGACACGCTCTAGCTTGTTAAGGTTTCAGATATGCAATGTGCTGATTAAAAGTCGCCTCTGGCTCTAGAGTTCAGAGTTGCGCTCTACGTGAGAATTTCTGACAAAAAAAGTATCTTTCGGATATTCAAAAAAAATTGTTAACGTGTACACATCAAACAAACATGGCTAAAGATAAGCCCAGCGATGTTGTCAATACAACAAACATACATATTTTTTTTTTTTTGGAATTTCTTGTATTATTTGCTCGACGTTTGTTTACAAGCTGAAACAGTTACACAAACACACACACACGTACACACGCGTACCTCAGATACAAACTTACAGATACATTTGCTTGTGGAACGGGGGCGGGTTGCATGCACCAATAAGTTATTGTTTTATTTTTTTTATTTTAATCGAAGCCCCATCTAAATAGAGTTCGGGCTCATCAATTATGGCATTAAATGCCCGCCTATCAGCAAATGTATTTGTTTGTTATTTCCAATAATGCCGCATAAATTGTTACAAAAGTTCAATGCACACTTCGAGGTGAACGCAATTGCAATTGCAATGCGGCGATCGAAGCGTGTTTAACTCGTTTACGGCTCTGACATGTCACGTAATTAACTGTGCCTAGTCTGCCAATAACTTAATGATAGATACATTGATATATATACATATATACATAGCATATATACAGAGAAACTACTCCTTGTGCTCTTGCCTTGCATTCAATTTGTTTTCATCATCCATTAAGTGCATTCAAATAGTTGCATGTCTGTCCATCCATCCGACTGTCTGCCTATCTGGCTTCTGGTCGGCCTTGCGCCCAATGTGTAATTGATATACGAGTATCTACATATATATATATATATAGATGATATACATCGAAACACAACAAACTTTGCTCAAATCATGGAAAACAATTTTTGATTAATTTATGATCTTTTTTATGCCATATTCTTCCAACGACTTAAAGCTCTGAAAAAAGACTAAGAATGTGCTTAAGTTAAGTAAAAGCTCTGCCAAAAGCTGGCGGGCACAAAATGTCTGCATCTAAGAACAAAATTCTTATTTCAAGAAGCCTTTATTCTTAAAGCTTAAAGCTTCCTGAGGGCAAGTTGCATATATGAAGTGCTCAATGTCAGAGCTCATTATTAAAGCTTATAACAAACTATAAGCTATATTTAATCTGTTCTACATTTAGCCAAAAAATGTCTAATTTTTCTGTCTTTAAACTCTTTTTGACCAAAAATTCAAATCTAACCAGATCTTTGCACAGCTGCTTCGAGTTCCTTATTATAAAAATTAAAATTTAACGTTCAATTTATTTAAGATCCATATAATCTCTTCCGAACTATATTTAGCCAAAAATCGTGTCAAAAATATTGTTTCTCTTTCTTTTTGTATATCTCCCAACTCTGCTATTGTTGCCTGTCTTCTGTTTAAGTCAAATTTAAACTAATGACTGAGAATTTAGATTGATGCGAAACTTTGTTGCATGTCTTCATCATTCCAAGCTTGGCACTCGGTATGGGGTTCATCATCAAAAGCTCATCAGGCTACTGGTCTTGAAATTGGGTAGCGAAGGACCATATTGTTGGTAAAGATCATATATCTTAATGATCTGCTGCCTCAGCGTATGGAATATCTTAACATGAAGATGACGTCAGTGTTGAAGGCAAAAGCTGCATACTACAAGCTTTTATTGCGGAAAGTTTACTAACCCAATTAGGAAAATTAATAAGCTTGCGCAGCACATCAGCTGTCGGAATAAAAAAATATGAAAATAGTCAGTTAAGGAAATTGTCAAAGAACACCCCCAGAGCCTGCTCGCCCACACCCATAACAGTGGCGAGAGCTTTAACAGAGAGCTGTTAAGCGCCTGCCAACAACAGCCAGTCAAATGCAAAGAGCGACGTCGAGAGCTCCAGCGGCCGCTGCCGCTGTCGCAGCTGACTGCAGGCAGACGGCAGACGGCAGCAGCTGTTTGGGGCCAAGTGAAAAAGTTTTTCGAGCATTTCAGTTTGGACTTGCCTTTGACCGCGTGCGGACGGCGACGCCAACGAGTTGTTGTTTGGTCGGCTTGAACTGACACTCTGTGCATGTGTCTCTATGTGTGTGAGTGTGCGTGAGCGTGTGCGTGTGTCTCCCCTACGTTTAGCTCTTGTATGAGTGCGGGCGCCACTCTGGGTATCTGTGTGTGTATGTGGGGGGTACCAGCAGCGGCGGCGGCAGCGGTAATACTTATGTACACTTGATGTGTTTTTATTTATATGCGCGCTGTGCTGTATTGTATATTTTGTGCGTCTGTATATGTAGCTTGAATACTTATTTTAGTTTTGTTTGTGTGCCGCTCGTCGAAAAACAACAATGTAGGTCGTGCATATTTAATATATGCAAATAAAACAAACGTATTGAAACAGGCGAGCGGTCGCAACAAAACCTACTACGCTTTTATCCCCATCTACTGCTATTTTACAACAAATACAAAACACAAACATTCACACACACAGACAGACAGAAACAGAGACGTCGACGCCGACGCATAGCGCCTACGGCTGAGATAACAGAAACAGCGCCGCCGCCACCCCCTCAGGCAGTGAAAAGAGAGAGAGAGGGAGAGCACAAAAACGTTAAATGCCCGAAATTCACTCTCGCTGCGCTGCTCGCAGCCGGCGCGCTCTCATTTTAGGCGCGCTGTCAGCAGCGGCAGCGAACACTTGGCAGCGTTCTAATTGCGTGCGCGTCGCTGTTGCTGTTAGCGGCTACGCCGCTGTTATCTGTCGTTGTTCGCTACCGATCGTGAGTATCTTAAAGATACACCAACACCAACTCCAATACCAAGACAGACCAGCAACAGCGGCAGCGCCGCATTCGTGTGTATCTTCTTGTTGTCTGTTTGTCGTATAAATTGAGCCGCACTTTGCTTATTCTCGAGTTTTTGCCGCACAGACGTCGTCGTTGTAACTGCAAGCGCTGCGCTGCAAACGCGTCGCGTTTCGTTCAAAAATATATATACATTATATATATATATATATATATACTGCATATCTGTAAACTGTATTCAAATAAAAAGCCAACACTCAAAATAAAGCTAAAAAAAAATAATATTAATCATTTTTATACTGCGAATTGGTTAATTCTATAAAGAAAAACCCACACACTTACGCGCTATATGTATCTGAAAGATACAAGTGCAGCATTGACGCGCCTCAGAAGACAACACACAATATTTTAAAGCGAAAATTGTTCTATTTTTATTCGAAATACATAAAATACAGCGCCGAACTGAGAGTTTCCTCCAGCACACACACACACACAATATTTGAGAATTCATTAAAAATTTCTTTGAAAATTTCCGCGTAAAATGCAATTTGAATGTTGTTAAAAAGTTGAGCGCGTTTTATGTGATACAAAAATATTTAAAATATTAAAATAACAAAAATTTTCAATTGCCCGCGTGCGTGTTTTTTCTGTTTCCCCTCAACCGCAGCATTTAATTTTTTTCCCTCCCCCATTATGTGTGCAATTATTAAATAAATTATAATCAACAAAAAAAATTAAATTGTGTGAATTAAAAACAACAACAACAGATCGTACAATATTGTGGGCAGCGCGAGTCAAAAGGAAAGAGAGAGAGAAGGAGAGCAGCAGAGAAAGAGAGAGAGCGAGCGAGAGAGAGGCAGCAAAATTACACGCATATATTGCGTAGCAAAGTTCTGAATGAAAAAGTCGCGGCATACGGGCGGACAGTACAGCAGGCGATAAATGTAAGTACAGCTGGAACTGTATATAAGCAATAAATATATAAATATATACACAAACATATATGTATATAGATATGTATATATGCGTGTGTGTGTAGCTATATTTGTCTGCAGTATAAACGAATTAGCGTAGCCTTCTGGCAAAGAACTCAATTGATCTGAAACTGGTTTAATGACTGGCTTGAATTAAAATTATAATAAAAGATATTAGATTGAGTTTTTGTATGGCAGAAATATATAAACAAAATGCTCTTTATTCAATGTACAATAACTTTAAGCAGAGGAAATGTTGTGAATGCGGTTCACGGTTGGAACCTAATTAATCTGAAACTGGTTTAATGACTAGCTTGAATTAAAATTAAATAAACAATATTAGGTTAAGCTTCTTTTCTTATATGTCAAAAATGTATAAATAATATGCCCTTTGCTAAATGCAACTTTACTTTCTTTATAACTATGAACCACTTTTGGTGCAAGCCTTGCATTGTCATATATGTATTTGAAACAACTTTTTTGTTGCATTAAAATATAAATTAAAGTTCCCGATTCGAACCGATTCGGTTGTAAGTCTTAATGTTTT